GTGTTTTCTCCGAAAGGCAGCGCAAGATAGTCGCGCAGAGGGATTGTCCTGCGAAGATAGCTTTGCGCCAGCGCATTCTCTCGCGGCCCCCTGGTCTTCCAGGGGGGCAACTCAGAGGACCTCGTTTAGAACCCTCTGGAGGCCAAGGCAGCGTTTCTCCCTCTCAGGCCATTTTGTCTGGTGGGTTAGATGCTCGTCGGATGGATGTTGCGGGTGGGACTGGGGCGGGGGGTGACTCTTCCAAGCGCTCTCGCTCGCCGTCAGATACTCGTGTCCTCAGGCGTGTTCGTGCACGCCTTGTGGAAAATTCGGATGCCCTCGGATCGCCGTCGGCGCCCTCTGGTCGTGGTCGGTCTGTGACTCCTGGGGGCGTTTTGCAGAGGGTGCACGCACGGCTCCGTGAGGCTCGCTCCTGCTCATCGCCTCTCAGGGTCGTGAGGGCCAGGCTGGACGGGCCTCCACCTTCTGATCGAGGCACGGTCCGCTCCGTGGCATTTGAGCCACCGGCCTTCGGCGCGCTCGACGCCGCGCTGGGCATCATGCAGGCGCGGTCCGCCGCCGCTGACGCTGCTGCCGCCTCTTCCTCCTGCCTCCTTGGGCCTCCTGGGAGGGTGGCGGGCCTCGGGTGGGAGCCTCCTCTGAAGTCCCGTCGGCTCGGGGGGGCCCGCGGAGGGGCGGTGGATGCCGCCCTCGCGTCTCCTTGGGCCCAAGGCGATGTACCGCCCAGTGCTGTGAGAGGCCACGAGCTTTTCATCGCGCCTGGAGTTGTCATGATATGTTTGCTCTGCGGGGGGATTTCCACGGGCAAGAACACCTCCTTGCGCGATCGGTGCCCCCCGCCTCCATACAGTAAGCGTGCTCTGTCACATGTCCACAGGTTTGTGACTCGTCGTCACCCCGCGGATCAGCACAGGCACGAGGATCTCGAGATACAGCGCAGGCTTCAATTCTCGGATCCCGAGTTGCACTGGTTGCAGCTCTAACTCGTTCGGTTTTCCCTGCAGAGCTTCACTTCTCTACAAGCTCTTCTTGTGTCTGCCGCTCTCCCCGCCGTGATCCGTCTGGTGGGCGTTTGGGGTGAGCGCTCGTGGCAGGCCTCGGGGAATGACTATGGTCGTTCCCACATTTCAGTGGCCGTTTGCGCTCCGCGCGACGGACTCCTTCAGGCTGCGTGCCTCCTCCTCCTCCCCCTCCTCCTCCTTCTCCTCCTCCTCCTCTTCCTCCTCCTCCTCCTCCTTTTGCTCTCCTCCTCCTCCTCCTCCTCCTCCTCATCCTCCTTCTCCTTCTCCTCGGTGGCTCTGTGACGCGGGCAGTGTCGAGCGATCGCCCTGGTGCCCTCGAGTCCCCCCCCCAGCCGCTGCACGGGGAGGGCGGAGCAAAGCCAAGAGGTACAGAGAGAGAGAGAGAAGCAGGAAAGACGAATGGCCACGGCCTGAGGCTGGTGGCGCCTGCACGCGCCGGCGCAGTGCGGGCGTGAAGGTGGCCCGAGCGCGGGCCCCAGGCCCCGGGGGGGAGCTGAGGCCCACCTCGGCGCGCCTCGCCTCGAGCAGGGCGCCCGCCTCTGCGGATCCTGCCAGGGGTCCGAGGGGGGCGGAGGAGGATGCGGTGCTCCCAGGTGCGTCGCGGCAGTCGCGGCGCAGGGAGCGGTGCGGGTGGGATGCGGGTAAGGCCATGGATTGGCGGCAGGGCTAGCGGTGGAGGAGGAGGAGGAGGAGGAGGAGGAGGAGGAGGAGGAGGAGGAGGAGGAGGAGGAGGAGGAGGAGGAGGAGGAGGAGGAGGGAGGGAGGAGGAGGGGAGGGGAGGAGAGGAGGAGGAGGAGGAGGAGGAGGAGGAGGAGGAGGAGGAGGAAGGAGGGGAGGAGGGAGGAGGAGGAGGAGGAGGAGGAGGAGGAGGAGGAGGAGGAGGGAGGAGGAGGAGGAGGGAGGGAGGAGGGAGGAGGAGGAGCGGAGGGAGCGGAGGAGGGGAGGAGGAGAGGAGGCGGAGGGAGGAGGAGGAGGCGGAGGGGAGGGAGGAGGAGAGAGGAGGAGGAGGAGGAGGAGGAGGAGGAGGAGGAGGAGGACGAAGGGGGTGGGAGGAGGAGGAGGAGGAGGAGAGGAGGTGAATTGAGTGGAGGATGCTGGGGCCGAGCGGTAGCTCTTGTGCCTAAGGGTCGAGGTTGTCCACGGCCTCCCAGCCTTCGCAGGGAAAGGCCTCTGCCGACAGTGGCCCCGCCGCTTTTCCTCCCCCCCGCCAGTGATGACCCAGTACCCCCTCCCTGGTGCAGGCGCTGGTTTGCGGGGTAGGGGTGGAGGAGGAGGTTTGGGCGAATGCAAGAAGAAGAGGAGAGGGAGGGGGAGGTTTTACAGTCTGTCTGGAGGTCCCTCACAGGAGGTAGTTGAGGGTTAAGCTGGCGACCAAGGAGTTTGTGAAATGGGAGATGGCGAGGTACCCGTAGGACAAGCGATTGCGTTTGTGGACGTAGGCGTGGTGTTAGAGGTGGAGCGTTCTGCCCTAGCCGCGCAGGTGGGGAGTCTGCCGGTGCTGCTTCGCGTGGAAGCTGGTGGCGGTGGTGGTGCTGCTGCTGCCGTGGTGGCAGTGAGTGCGCAGTTAGGATGTGGTGTAGTGGCAAGAGCTGTGGAACACGTGGGAGCCAGCTGAGCAGTGGCTGTGCGGCCGGTGGAGCACAGCTGGTGGAGGCAGGCTGCGCCCCGCGGGGGCGGCCGCAGCCTGGGAGGCCCGCCGTTGGGATGGGGGCGGTGTCGGTGCTGGTGCTCCTCGAGGGGAGGGCGGCCCGTGTCGCGGGTCCTGCGTCTGGCGCTGGACGGGGCCTCCCAGCTTGCCGGGCACAGGGCCGAGGTCGTTGCTGCGCGTGCGGCTGCTCTCTCCGCGCCCGGTGTCCGCCCCCATCCTTGGAGGGAGAGCGGAGGGGTGGAGGCATGGTTGGCGTGTGGCGTCGGGTTGGTGGGTCATTCGTGGTGGTCGGGGATGCAGTCGCCGGACCCTGTGTCCGCAGCGGGGCTTTGTGTCTCCGCTCGGAGGGTGCGATAGCCCACGGCCCTCTCGCGGTAGATGACGTGGTAGACTATGTCCTGCACGACGCGGCGGTTTTCGTTCAGGTCCTCCGTTTCCACGGTGAGGCTGAGGGCCACGATGGTGCCGGTGATACTGGCGATGTGCGCTTCGTATCCGATCAGGCGGCTTGGGTCGACACCTTCTGTTTGGCGGAGAGGTAGCTGTGGTTCTTCGCCGTGTTCGTTTGCTCGGTGTGTGGCGTCGTCGTTGGTTTCTTCCATCAAGGCCCAGTAGCCAGTGGGTGTGCAAGCTCTCGGGTAAGGCGGCGGCTCGATTCGGGTGATGCGGATGTGCTCGCCCTTCTTGATGGAAAGGCATATGTCGTTGTACTTGTCTTCCAGTGTCCAGTCCTGGTAGGCCTTGCGGACCTGGTTGACGTCGCCGGACCTGGTTGACGTCGCCGTCAGGGTGGTCCAGCGCTGTTCCGAAGATCGCGGAAAGCAGCCTTCTTGTTTCGCTTCTGTCGGCGCGTCCCGGTTGCCGCGGTGGTGGCTGTTGTCGTTGCTGCTGCCTGTTCAAGCACATCGTCTTCGGCACCGCCTGATTCCGGGGCTTTGCCCCTCCTGGCCTTGACGTGAGGCCCCTCCTTCTGCCCCGCCCTTGGTTGATTGAAGCTGTGCGCGGCCCGCTTTGCTTCGACCGGAAGAGGTGCGCTCTCGACCCGCATGTTTAATACATGCTCCGCGTGCGGATCATGTACTAAACATGCAGGGATTTAGTCTAAAAACAGCGATGAGTGCATGCATACATTTATTCTTAAATTAGTCATGTATGAAAAGTCCTTTTTAATTTGTTGGAAAAAATCCTATGTCTTGAAAAACTGCCCTGTGCTGCTGCCTGTTCCTGCAGTGCTTGGGGTGCAGTTTGGTCCCTGCCGCTGCAGCTCGGGCCCTGGCCTCGGCCCCGGGCGTCGGCGCGCGCCCGGCGGCGGTGGCTGAGTCCGCGCTGCCGCCGTCGCCGTCGGCTCGCGGGCGGTGCCGGCGCAGCTCACCGCCCACCAAACATGGACAACTGTGCTAATTGTAGAGCTAATACATGCGCCCAAACCCGACTTATAGGAAGGGTTGTGTTTATTAGTTACAGAAACAGCCCAGGCTCCGCCTGGTCCTTTGGTGATTCATAATAACGGAACGAATCGCATAGCTTCGCTGGCGATGAATCATGCAAGTTTCTGACCTATCAAGGCACCCCAGCCCAACCCGAAGGCCCCGATGTGCCCTCCATTTCCAGCTGGGGGGGATCGGGGAACGTTGAGAAAACACACATATGGAGCCCGCCCCCCCGCCCAACCCGAAATTCGGGTCTTCGGGTTGGGTTGGGGTGGTTTGGTAGGGTCGTAATGTGTCGTGTGTCGTCCTCCTGGCCTTGATGTGAGGCCCCTCCTTCTGTCCCCCTCTCTTTAATTCAAGCTGTGCGCGGCCCGCTTAGCTTCGACCGGAAGAGGTGCGCTCTCGACCCGCGGATCAAAAATGTGTCGTTTGTCGTAGCACGTAGCTCTCGTCGATTTTCTTAGGGGAACAGAAAGTGGCATAAACATAAAAACTCGGAGGTCCGCGCGGATTTCTCGGATCGGCGCTGGACCCCCCTCCCTGGCGCGCGGAGCGCGCCGGGGGCGGCGCCGGAGGCGCCGCCGGGGGGCCAGCGCCGATCCGAGAAATCCGCGCGGACCTCCGAGTTTTTATGTTTATGTCATTATATGTTCCCCTATTTCTGCGCAGTGTCGACATTGGCATCGGGCTCCTCTCGGCGACAGCGCTGGGCGGCGCCTCGTGCCGCAGCGGCCGCGCGTGGTCGGTGTCGGCGCCCTCCTTGTCGGTGCATTCCGTCTGCTGCACCTCGACCTTGTGAGGTGTTTCGACCGCCGCTCTGATCTGTGGTGCCTCGTGCGCGAAGGCGCTTGTTTGTGTTGTGCGCTTTCGGGTAGTGCCTGCCATCGGCGGTGATGTGACCTCGCTGGTGCGGGGGGAGGCCTGGTCGCAGACGTCGTCCCACTCGCTGCTGTTGCGGTAGGTTATAATATCGGTGCAGTTGAATCTGCTACACTTACCGCTGATTGAGTTTCCCACTATGCACCATCTCGAGCCGCAGTCCTTGCACACCGCGATCGAGACGGTTGGGGTCGGCGCAGGGGTGTCATTGCGGGAGCCTGGGTGGCTGCCAGCGGCACGTAGCTTGTCCGCTCCGTCCTGGGTGTCCCATAGCTGCGTCAGTATCATACCCACGTCGACATAGCCCGTGAGTAGGTCCCAGAGCTTCTTCAGTATCGCTCCTTTGTTGATGCCTCCCTTGATCGGGTCTCTTGCGATGTCCTGAGCGATATGAGCGGCCTGCAGCAGCTCCCGTCCGAACTTCACGTCTGCCGGGGATGATGCGGGGCCCAGGTGGCTGAGCTGGCAGATGGCGAGGATGATCTTCGTGTAGAACTTCGTGCCGCTGTTGCACCTGCTCTGGCATCGCGCCGTGTGGATCCTCGCGGGTGGGGTGATGCCGATGACATCGTCGGCCCTCTCGGGTGGCGGTCCTAGTGGTACCGGTGGCCCCGGCTCGCCGTCGACCTTGAAGGGAGGCACCCTGCTGATGACGTCGTCGTCACGAAGTCGCTCGTGATCCTGTTCTTGTGCCTGAAGGTCCCCTTGTTGTCGTTGGTCAGGTGCCTCTCCCACGGTGATCGAAGCTTCCAGTCCGCTGGGAACGCCCACATTGTCTCCCGCGTCTGCGGTGTGTGGTAGTACGCCCATGCAGTGTCGTCGTCAGGGTAGACTCCCCAGGGGTATTGCAGCTTCATGACGTGGGATGGCAGGGCTAGCATTCCGTAGTCCACGTTTGGTGTTTTTTTCGGTGCCGCTGGCTTGGAGATCAGGGGGGCCACGGGCGTGCGGGCGTAGGGGTTGATCCTCGGCGTCATGTCGATCGGCTGCTGGGCGGCCATTGGGTGCGTCGTCCAACGTGGCACGTTAGTTGGGGCCGGCTTGGCGACGGGTGCGATGGCGGTGCTCCCAATCTGCTGGCAGTGGGGGAATGCCTGCGTCCTCCGTTCCTCGGGCTGCGTGAAGGTGTGTGGCCTCCGCTGGGTAGGGTCAGTGGATTGTCATGTGAGGCATGGGCTGTAAAAACCAGGCATCTGCGTGAGACCTGCCAGAGTGAGCTGCTCGTCGCACTCGATGTCCAGGTTGAGCTCATAGGATTGTCGCAGCTCCTGCCGCTTCTTTTCCATCTCCGTCTTGTGCTCTTCGGTGGGTATGTTGTAGTTTGTCATCTTGATCTCGAGAAGGTTGCCGTGGATCTTGACCTTGGCAGGTGGCTGCCATGGGGCCGCGGCCTTCATGGGTCTCGCAATGGGAGTGGGCTCCCTAGGCGGTATGAGCTCCATGTCTAGTTGTCCGTGCCGTCGATCGTCCAGGTCGTGATGATGTTGCCGACGTCGTCTGTCGTGTTGCTTGCAACGTATATCATATACCGGGGTACCGGGGGCCCATAACCTGGGCCAGCACGCTCTCCCGGGTTCCCTCCTCCTTTTCGGCACCGGAAATCTGGACACCCTCCGGGGCCTTCGGGTCTCCCCCCGGCCGCTCAAATCATTTCTGGGTAGCACTAATGAGCGACCAGAGCGCCCCAACAGGCCCCTAAGACGCCCCCGAGAGGCCTCCAAGACTCCCCGAGAAGGCCCCAAGATCCTCTCCAGGAGGGCCCCAGACAGTCTACATTGCGCCATTCCTTTTGGAAAGCGTAGATTTTCAGCATATCCGCTGTTTATCAGCCACGCGCAGAGGGGGGGGGGGGGGAGGGGGGAGGGCTTCTTAGAAGCACCCCTGCTTCTTAGAAGGCGCGGGCCTTATCTATAGATGTAAGGCAGGCGCCTTCTAAGAAGCAGCCTGCTTCTAAGAAGCCCCTCCCCCCCTCCCCCCACCCCCCTCTGCGCGCCGCCAAGTTTAAGTTTACACGACGTTCAACACGGCGCAAGAGGCCCCCAAGATCGCCCCAAGACGGCCCAAGCGGCCCCCAAGAGCACCACAAAGCGGCCCACGAGAGCCCGCGGACGGTCCAAGAGGTGCCCCAAACGGCTTCGGATGGCCCGGAGAGGGGCCCACCAGGGGGAACTCCTCACATTTCAAGCCCTCCGCCCCAAGTTGACTCCCCAGACCGCCAGCAGGCCCCCAAGAGGCCCCCAAGAGGCCCAAAAGATGCCCCAAGAACCCCCAAAACAGCCCCCCAGAGGCCCCCAGCATACCAAGAGATCCCAACAGGTACGTATCCAAGAAGCCCCTGACCCACGGCCCAGGCACGGTGGTGGTGTGAGCCCCAGGCCAGTAGATATGCCAACCATGAGCCGGGCGAAGGGCGCTGACGCCGCAGGTGGAGCTCCCTGTGGGGTACCACCCGTATGAGGCATGTGCTGGCATGGGCGGGGGGACGCCATGCGAAATTACCCAGTTGGTGCCATTGGTGCGGTACACGATTCGCGTGAGGAGCGTCCCGAAATGGGAGGGAGCATGCTGTGCGAACCTTGTCTCTGGAGCTGTGGGTGCTGCTCCCTGTGGAGCGCGATCCGCGTAAGGGGTGTGCCGCAATAGGCGGATTGGGCGACCTTCGTGTCTATTGGGGGGCCTACGGATTTTTTGAAGGCAAGTTAGAGCGGCCTACGGGTGCCCCTCCACCTGACAAATGTGTTATTTCATGCATGCGTGTATGGACGCCTGGATGGGTTTGTGGTGTATGGGTGCTTGTAAGGAGAAATGAGCCGATGGATGCCTGGATACATAATTTCACACGTGTGGCATGTGTGTTTTCTCGGCTGCTTGGGTGAAGATATCTGGATTAAGTTATCCATCAAGTCCAGATGATGGAATGTATTGATGAATGTATTGTTGGATTGGTGTAGGAACGGACGGGCATATACGTTTGTGGGACAAAGCTGAGACGTGCCAGAACCGAAGCGCGCGCGAAGCACGTGACGGCTCCTCCGGCCCCAAGAGGTCCAAGGATTCAGCACTTCTATACTGAACACGCAGCCTGACCCTAAGCGCGCGACCCCCTGAGTGAATCAAGGCCTCACAATACGCTTTGGGATGAACGCCAACACGCATCGCGGCATGCACTTTCTGTGTTGAGCAAGCCCTGCGCTAGAGCTGGGGTTATTCGTGGGTACGTGCATGCGTGCACCCGTAAACTTGTTAATGCGTGCAGCCGTGACCTTGTCAAGGGCTGGCGCTTGCTCGAACCTAAGCACGCGCGAAGCACGCGCGTAGTTCTGGTTCCTGTATACTGAGACTGGTTCTGTATATCGTGGTTCTCCTGGTTCTGTTGGCCACGTATGTAAGTTGACTGCGCCCGATTCCCAGCGTTATTTCCATAGGTTGCCCTGGCTTCAGCGGTAGTCTGCAGGATGCGCTGTAGCGGTCCGAGTTGTTGATCTCGTATTGGTCTCCCGTAGGGTCGCCGGGAAGCGTGTGTAGGCCTCCGTTGGCCTGTGGTGTGATGTGGTGGACGTCCTCGAAGATTATGCAGACGTCGGTGGTGGGGTGCATGTCCTTGGCGCCCATGGTTTCTACGACGTCCCTCAGGCACATGCAGCCGGTCCTGGCCTCCGAGGATGTCCGCAGGTTGTAGTCCAGCGCTGCGCCCCGATGTGCAAAGTCAACGCGATGTGCTCCATGCCGCTGTGGATTGTCTGGCGCTCCTCCGCCTCGAAGGCTCCGCACTCTGTGGCCTGCTCGGTGCAGGCGCCTTGGATCTGCGTGAGGTTGGTCCACTCCTGCTCGCTGTGGCCCTTGAATGGACTGACCAGTGCCAGACAGAAGGGGTGGCCCCGTTCGGCAAGCTGCCTTGCCCTGTCCCATGATGTGGTGATCGGGGGCTGCGTCTTGCCGTGCCCTCTGTATCCGGCCGGTTCCCTTGTGGCGCCGTTTTCGTCCTTGCATTTGAGGGCGCTCTGCTAGTGGGGTACCAGTTGCGGGTGCCTGAGCCAGTATCGGTCCAAGAGCATGATGTCGGCTGAGTGGTACAGTAATTACAGCCTGAATGCCTTTTTCTCCCCCTCCTCCTCCTCCCCCTCCTCCCCCTCCTCCTCCTCCTCCTCTCCTCTCCCCCCTTCTCCTCTCCTTCTCTCCTGTCCTCTTCCCTTCCTCCCTCCTCCCTCCTCCCTCCTCCCTCCACTCTCCACTCCACTCCTCCCTCCTCCCTCCTCCTCCTCCTCCTCCTCCTCCTCCTCGTCCTCCTCTTCCTCCTCCTGATCGTCCTTCTGCGCTCCTCTTCCTCCTCCTCCTCCTTCCCCTCCTCCTCCTTCTCCTCCTCCTCCTCGTCCGTAGTCCTCCCTCCAACGTGTGACTGCTCTCCTCTCGGCGCTCCGTATGGGCCTCCATATGATCCACTGGGGTATTAAAAGCTGTTTTATCCTCGTCAACGTCTTCGGATAGGACATTTATCAAACCACATGTTCGCCTGCACCCATCGAACACATGATGCAGGAAGGGGCCCTGAGGCAGCTGGAGAGAAGAGACGCAGGGAGAGTCCACGGAGTCGACGGTATAGTTTGCGACGACATCGTAGCATCGCAGCTCCGCTCGTCTAAACACTTTTTGATCCGCGGGTCGAGAGCGCACCTCTTCCGGTCGAAGCTCAGCGGGCCGCGCGAAGCTTGAACTAGGCAGAGAAGAGGAAAGAGGAAGCGGCGGAGCCTCAGAGCGAGGCCGAGAGGAGGCATAGCCTCGGATACAGGCGGTGCCGAAGCCGAATTTCTTGCAACGGGACGCCTTCGGCAGGAGCCCGGTGGCGAAGTACCGGAGAAGGGCAAAATCCGCGCGTCCAAACACACATCTGCCCAGAAAGGGCTGCATCGAGCCCCCTGTCCGTGGAGCTCTGTGGAGCGTGCGCTCGACCGGGGCCACGAGCTGCCCCGTGCTCCGCGTCCCTGGCGCGGCCGGGGCAGATCGATGCGGCCCTCCGCAGACCGACTGGGCGTGCGCGGCGGCGGCATCCGTCCGGTCGGAATACAGTCGGCCCAGATTAGCAGGTCGACCCTGCCAAATCAAGGGTGCCCTTGTGTCCTGCGTCTCGCGACCCATGCTTCCTACATTCTTGTGGCAACGTGGCCCTCGGGGGGTTCTTGTGTCCTCTCGCGTGTCCTGTCCAATCGAGTCCGACTGGTATCGATCGCTCAGACGCGAAGGAGGTGCTTCTGCTTTTCACTAGTGGGCTCTTTGTACATCCCCTGGGTGCCAGTTTCATCGGCCGCGGCAGGAGAGAGGCATCGACGTTGCTCGGGCCCGGAGGTCACGAGGTGGAGGAGTGTGAGTCTGGCCAGGTGGCTGGAGGCAGCGTTTTCATGTGCGGGTCCTGCACGAAGCACCCGATTAAAGAACCGTGTAGGGCCACGCGGGGTTTTGTACAGGTCTCCCAGGAGGCTCAAGAGACCTGCTCGGTCTGTGGGCTTGTTTCTGGCCCCAATGCCGCAAACCCCTCGGGCGGCGGAGTTTGCAGCCCTAGCCATGGTTGCCCAGAATCGCCGAGGCCCGTCCATACGTTTTTCGGATGGCGCCAATGTGGTCAACACGTTCGTTCTGGGTCCAACTGTCCGTTTTTCGTGCAAGAAGATGTAAGCTGGCACGATGATGCTCGCGCGTGCGGGCGACCTGCTGGCCTTGAGGAAGGTCAAAGCGCACGTGGCAGACAGCCCTGATTCAACCCAGCAGCAGTGCTGGGAAAAATACGGTAACGACGCAGCTGACAGAGCTGTCCGGGTGAGGCTGCATGCCCACCCGACGGGCTCGAGTCACCATTTGCAGCAGGCGTACCGGAATATCAAGGTAGCCAGGGCCGCGTGTTGTCTGGCGGCCCGCCTTTTGCCCTTATGGCCCGCGTTGGACTTCCAAGGTTGCCCCAGGACCCGTCCGGAACCCGAGCCCCAGACATTGGCCCCTCTTGACCACCACCAGTGAGCATGGTGTAGCACGTACTGGAGGCGCGCGGTATGCCTGAAGGTACGCCGTCCTTTGAAGGAGGTCGTTTTCGGAGAGAGCGACCAAACACCGACGTTGGGTTGCTCTGGAGCAGTACCAGTTTCGTTGCAGCAGGTGGGCGCGAGAGGCCATCGCCTCTTGGCTTTCGGCTGCAGCGACCGATCGGCTCTTGTCGTTTGCGTCGGATGCAAAACGATCTCGACGCTCGGCTCTCTGGCCTTGCCGGCCAAGGAGTGCCGCCACCCGACTCGCCCGCAACAGTCTGGAGCGGTGGAAATATCGTGCGTTTGAAAGGGAAACACCGGAACTTTGACACCGCTGCCATCGAGGTGCCCCCAGAGTGTTTCGAGGCGCCAGAAGCAGCGGCAGAGCATGCGCCAGTGGCTCCGCCCTTTCCCAACAAACAGGTGACGAAGCCCAGTGGGCAGCTCAGCGTAGTGCGAGACACACTCCCTCAAGACGATGCCGAGGTTCCTTGGGTGCAATCTTCTCGCGCTTGCCATCGCTCGTTTTTTTTCCCCCCTAAACACTGTAATTTTTATGCTAGAAAATATATTAGATACTCCATTCTTTTTCCTTGTAGATAACTCCTCTCCTCCCTGTCGCGCCCCGAGGCCAGTCGAAAGGGCGGGCCAGGCGTTTCGCTTTAGACTTTCTCGCCACTCATGACGACCCTGATGCTTGACGGCCAACAGCATTTTCACAGATGAAGGGCTGGTCGTTTTCACCTGTGGCTCTCGCCTTAGCGCCGCGCACAGTCGTTATAAAAAGATGGGGAGATCTTCGCGGATCGAGGGCGGGCCGTTCTCAAAGTGTGGCTCTCGCCCTTAGCGCCGCGCACAGTCGCCGTAAAAAGCTGGGTGAGATCTTCGCGGATGGGAGGGGGACCGTTCTCAAGATGTGGCTCTCGCCCAGCGCCGCGTACATGTGTTTCGAAGCTTCGCGAGAGCTTGCCGGATTGAGGGTTGGCCGTTTTCAACATGTGGAATTAGCACTCGCGCCGCGCGCACGATTTCAAAAGAGCTGCAAGAGCTTTTGCGGATTGAAGGCTGGCCGTTCATGCTGTTCTCGTGTCAGAGCCGCGCAAGTTCGTATTACAACAGCTGCGCCAGTTTCACGTGTTGAGGGCGGGTGGCTTTCAACATGCTGTTGTCGCCTTAGCGCCGCGCGCATGCATTCTGACACTTTGCAGGAGCTTTACGGATTGAGGGCGGCTGGTTTTCAAAATGAGGCTCCCGCCTTAGCGCCGCGCGCATTCGCTGTAAGCATTTGCGAACGCTTCAATGACTCTCGTAGTTAACGTACCATGAAAGATGCTTTGGAACGGTCCAGGATTGTCAGGGCGCACTCGTCATGTTGATTCGTGGTGTTGAAGTCCCAGAACTGGCGTTCTGGCACGATTCCCGACTGTCAATGCGTAGCAGTCCGGTTAACTCGTGGCGCTCAAGTCCCGAGAACGGTGTTTTGGAATGCATCACGATGTTCACACGGTTCTCCCTCACCAGGGTACTTCCTTCAGCGGACATGACTCCGTGTAGGGGCCTTATGTATGAGGATGGATCTTGGAGGGAGGGTGTGTATTCCAACATCGTTGATGAGTCTTGGGTTTGCATTGGTCGTCGTCCCCCTTCTCCTCCTCCTCCTCGGCTTCCTCCCCCTCCTCCTCCTCCGCCTCCTCCTCCTCCTCCTCCTCCTCCTCCTCCCGGCCCGCCGCCCAGCCGTGGCGCGCCCTGTGGCAGGTGGCGCGTCTGCTGCTGCTGCTGCTGCTGTTGCTGCTGCTGCTGCTGCTGCTGCGGCTCCGCGTGGTGATGGAGGTGGTGGTGGCGGCGGTGGTGGTGGTGGTGAGGGTGGTGGGGATGATGCCCGTGGTGGGGATGGTGAGGAGGAGGAGGATCGGATGATGCTGTTGAGCGTGATGAGGAGGCTGCTGATGAGGATGATGAGGATGAGGACGAGGATGGGGATGATTATGATAATGCTGATGCTCATGATGGTGATGCTGCCGATGATGATGTTGCTGAGGATGTTGATGATGATGATGATGATGATGCTGATGATGCTGATGATGATGGTGATTACGATGATGGAAGTAATGTGGTGGTGATAAATGATGATGATGGTGACGGTGAAAGCAATGGTGATGATGGTGGTAGTGGATGATGATGCGGAGGAGGAGGATGAGGAGGATGTGGGATGGAAAGAAGCTGGAAAAAGGTAGTCGGGGCCAGCCCTTTCACTTTTCAGCCTAGGTCATGCTTTCTCGAGTTTTCCAGCAGTAGCCAGCAGATTCTATGTGTTTCGGTTTCGTCCTGGACCTTGGTCCTTCACCGCTCCTCCTCCTTCACCTCTCCTCCTCCTCATCATCCTTTTTTGCCTTTCATCCTTCTTTACGTCTCCTCTTCTTCCTGCTCACCAATCTCGGTCTCGAGCACAATGTTTACAACGTCTGCAAGAGACAACGTTGTACAGATGGGACCAGGGACCAGCAAGACTTGCCGCCTCGATCTTGCCCTGAAGATCCCCGTGACAAACATGGAGTACGGACCCCTGCAGGCGATCTCCTCGGAGGAAGAAGCAGGCCTCCTTGCTGAGCTCTCCGTCCTGATCTTGCCAGGTATGCTGTCCTGACATGCCGCCTTGCGTGTCGTTTCATTGTCATCTCTCTCCTCCTCCTCCTCCTCCTCCTCATCCTCCTCCTCCTCCTGCTCCTCCTCCTCGTCCTCCTCCTCCTGCTCTTCCTCCTCCTCCCCCTCCTCCTTAGTTCCTCCCTCGTCGGAGGAGGCCCACTTTGAGTGGCACCGCTTCGACACCGAGGCGCGCCGCGCCGGGGGCACTGCTGACAAGAGGGGAGAGGGGGGGGGAATGCTGCTGCTGATGCTGCTGATGCTGCTGAGGCTGCTGCTAATGATGATGAGGAGGAGCAGGAGGAGGAGGAGGAGGAGGAGGAGGAGGAGGATGATGCTGATGCTGATGCTGATGAGGAGGAGAAGGACAACGACAGCTGCACAGCTCAAGTCCGATCACCGTTTCAGAAAGAGGAAACAGAGGAGGAGGAGGAGGAGGAGGACGAGGAGGAGGAGGGAAGTGAGGAGGAGAAGGAGGCGGAGGCGGAGGAGGACCAGGACCAGGACCAGGACCAGAGTAAACTTGCGCTGCCCCCGCGATGCTGCAACGCACCGTCCCGTCCAGAATCCCCTCTCCACCAATCCCTACACCACTTCTTGTTCACTACAAGAAGCGCTCCCTCCTTGAACTGCCAGCGCCCCATGGGCTTGCCGTTCAGGCTTTTCCTCCTGCTGCTCCTCCTGCTGCTTCTCTTCTTCCTCCTCCTCCAACTCCTCCTCCAATTCCTCCTCCTCCTCCTCCTGCTCCTCCTCCTCCTCCTCCTCCTGTCAGCGAGTAACACGGGGTGCGGCATGGTATGAGTATACATTTCATCAGGGTGCCCAGCGAGACGCTCGTCTAAAGCAACGCCTCATGTCCAGGTACCTGCTGCGCACAATTACAACCATGGTCATGCACTTCGGAGAAGCTTCAAGCGATATCCCCGTTTTGACAACGCACCGCCCCAACCGCTATGATACCGCAATCACTTCGGGTCAAGATCGAGTTCGGGACATGGCTGGTCGCCGAAAGGAACCATGTACCACCTTACTGGCATTGATCTGAAAAAACAGCTGTATACCTGATCGCACAACAAATTTCGTCATTGAGTTGTACTGGGAGGATCCCTGAACAATCAAACGACCGGAGCTTCTCGAACTAATGCAGTACGTGTGTGTGTGTGCTTGAGCTTGGACGATGGTAAAACCAGGCATTTGTCCTAGGATGATCTTGCGGGGGGGTCAATTCTAAGCATGATTCGTTCGTTCATCGTACGCTACTTCTCTTCGAACGCTCCTGGTGTTCCAGGATCGCCTGGTGAGCTCCAATGGTCGCTGCATTATCATAACGGAAAGTTGGCTACATCGGCTACTGATGAGAAAGGTCTGCAGCTCGTGCGACTGAGAAGAGAGTACGAGCAGGAGTGGCAGACGCAGGAGGAGCAGGAGGACCGAGGGGAGCAGAAGGATAGGAGCAAGGGCAAGAGCTGGAGGACGAGGAGGAGTAGGGCTATGACCAGGGTCAGGCTCAGGCTAGCCAGCTTGGACGAGCCAGCGAGTCCCGCCCACTCACATCCACTCTTCTGTCACACAAGAATCAGTGTCGGCACAACTGGCTATCAGGCCTGGCGCGTTATCCCGTGAACGGGAGGCGCGCGCGCGCGAGCACGGCCCGTCTCCGGACGACGTGGCAAAATATTAAAAGCCACGGGCTGCGCACGGGTGGAGGCACAACTCTCAGGGAATCCCTGCGCGGTGCTGCGACAACAGCCCCCGCTGAGGCTCTTGTCGCGCGCAGGGAGGCTTCCGACGGGACCCAGCAGGCACGCAGCACGCGCCGCGCCCGCGCGAGGGCACAGTTTTGACTGATGGGCCTGTTTTCCACCACTACCACCATAAGTTGGAGGGGGGGAAGGAGGAGGAGGAGGAGGAGGAGGAGGAGGAGGAGGTGGAGGAGGAGAAGGAGGAGGAGGAGGACGAAGAGGAGGAGGAGGAGGAGGAGGAGGAGGAGAGGAGGAGGAGGAGGAGGAGGAGGAGGAGGAGGAGGAGGAGGAGGACCCCCTCCCCCTCCAGCTTGTGGCAGTGGTGGTGGGAAGCAGGCCCCTCCTCGACGCACGCTCTGTCGATCTCGACATCGAGCTCTCTATCGCTCCCGGGCTCGGCCCCCCGCTTCCGACGCCCTGGGCGGGCGCAGCGTGCGCTCCGCGCCCGGCAGGAAGCGCCTTTGAGGAGGAGGAGGAGGAGGAGGAGGAGGAGGAGGAGGAGGAGGAGGAGGAGGAGCGCGCCCCGTACGGCTGCGAGAAGCTGTCGGAGGCAATCTGCGCGGCGCTCTCAGCGAGAGCGACGCTTCTCGGCCTTCCGTTCGCGGCGTGCGCCGCGCGCCGCCCTCCCGCCTCGCACTCTTGTGGGGTTTCGAGGAAGCACGTCGGCATTTCGTGGCTTCTGGATGAGTAGCAGCCCGCTCCCCGCTTTTGCCCCGCATCGGTGACTTCCCCTCTGGATGTTCCAGAGCATCTTCTTGTGTATGATTGTGTTGCCGGTTCGTGTATACTGTGTTGCCTGTTCGTTTGATTGTGCTGTCTCGAGATCGTTACGTGTATTTGGTTGTGCTGTTGGTTTTCTGTCGTACGGCTTCTAATTGTGCGGGTTTGTAATCGATCTGCGTTGAAGAGCGCCCGCAACAAGTTGTTGTTCATTTGGTTGCCGCCGCCCCCACCCCAACAAACAAGAGAGTGGACACTTCAGGGTTTCTTATTACTTTTTAGTGTATGGTGTTCTTTTTGTTTTTAAGTGTACGGGCTTCGCAACAGTTCTAATTGTAGGGCGCCGGAATGGTTCTGGGCCTTCCTCGGACAAAACAAGGGAATCACCCTGGGGCTTCCCGTCTTCTTTTGCTGGCCCCTTGCCCCGCCCACGCCCCACCCCCAAGCAAAAGCTTTGCGACTCCCCGAGGCTTGTTCTTTTTGGAGTGGGGGAAGGGGGCGCCCCCCCTCCAAATGAAGGACGCAGAGCCCCCAGACTGTTCCCCACCCGACAGGTTGGGGTTGTTAGATTTCAAAGACAGCCCCCCCCGGCCAACCCCACATACCTCGGCCGCCAGTTGTCGGCATCACCCCAACATACTTATACTGTATGTGCGTCGCCCCCAAAGGGGCGATGCGCGCACCGAGAAAGCTTATAGTATAGGCGTCGTGGCGGGCGCTTCCTGGCCACGCCGCTCGGGGAACGATCTACTATAAGATGGGTATAGGATATGGTCGGGTCGGACGCGCGCCTCCGAGGAGGACGTACAGTATTAGTATGTCTCTGTGCGTCCCAAGTTGTCCCGAGTGTCCCGAGCATCCCCGGTGTCCCGCTTTGCGCCCGGCCAACACCGACCCTGCATGCCGCGGCCGCCAGACCCCAGGTTGTGTCCCGAAGCCCCGCCTCGCGCCCTCGACGAACACGACAGAACCCCAGATAACCTTTTAAGTCGGGTCTATTCACAGGAGGAATATTCGAGAGAGTCCAAGAATAGTCGGGGAACCATTTTTCTACTAGTTTTGGCTATTTTTGAGTACTTGTTCTTCCATCCCAAATCCGCCTGTAGTCGGGCATGCCCGACCTAAACATAATCGAACAGAGCCGAGCACAACATAACACGCCTTGACATAACGACATAACATATCATATCATGGCACAGCATCGCATAACATATCAGAACACTGCAGTAGAGCACAGCGACGACGAATACGACAGAACACAACATGACACACCAGAGCATGACATAACAGAACACGAGCAGAGATAACATACCACGACATCACATAACATAGCAATGGTATGACAACGTAGATAATGACATAACATCACATAACATCCCAGAGCAGAGTATGACCTATTAGAAGACGGCATGGCACAACTTAACACAACATAGCCGAGCATAACATAATAACACGCCTTGGCAGAACATATCATATCCTGACACATCACCACAGGACATATCATTACACAACAGCGGAGCATAGCGACACATACTAGCAGAGCAGGTCACAATGTGCTATACAGTGCCGAGTCGTCAACCAACATAACATCACATACCATACCAGAGCAGAACATGGCAGAACAGAAGACGACATAATACAGTGTAAGGAAACATAACCGATCAGACCATAACACACCTGGACATACTAGATCATATCATGACACCGAATCACAAACCATATCGTAACACGACCGCAGAGCATAGCGACGAATAACACGACATAACACAGCATGGCCCAACGAAACATACCATAACATAACACGATCATGGCAGAACATGACATAACAGAGCTTCGCATTGTCATAACAACACAGGGCGTACCATAACATAACATAACATACTTGAGCAGAACATGCCATAACGGAAGACGACACACCACAACTTAACATAACATAGCCGAGTATAACAACACACCTTGACATACACTATCATATCATGACGCATCAACACATACCATATCATAGCACGACCACGGAACATATCGACACATGCTAGCAGAGCATGGCACAATTTATCATACAGAGCCGAGCCGTCAACACACATCATAACACATAGCATACCAGAGCAGAACGTGACAGCATAGAGTACTACATGACACAGCCAAGCAGAACACAGCCGAAACACATCTAGGTAATAATAGTAAGCCGAGCTGTCAACAACATCACCGAACATACTATATTAGAGTGATCCGAGCTGTCAAGAGCATTATGATCCTCTTCTTGGGTCCCTCTTGGGGTCGTTTTGGGGCTCTCTTGGGTCGATTTGGGCGCCGCTTGGGTTGTCTTTGAGCCATCTTGGGCCGTCTTGGGGCCCTTTTGGAGGCTTCGTGGGCCGTCTTGGGGCGGTCTTGGAAGCCACTTGGACCGTCTTGGAGCGCTGGTAAGCCAAAAAGGCGAGAACGCCAAAAACCGTCAGAAATTGGAAGGGAAATCACTCATTTCTGCCTCTGTGGGTCCTCTTGCGAGGTCTCCCTCCGGCCCCACCTCCTCACCCTTGTCCTTGCCCCCTCCCTCCCCTCCTTGTGCCCCACCCGACAGGCTGGGGCTGTTTGCTTTCAAGAGCAGGCCCCTGGGGCCAACGCCACCCTGCATACCTCGGGGGCCACATGCGAACCCTACCCCTACCTCCCACGATTTCTGAGCGGGAGGTTGGGGTTCACTTCGTTCGGGAGCTCTCGAGTGAAGTGA